AAGGCAGTGCCATTTACCTGTCAAAGTCACTGCCCAAGCTGTCAGCAGCCCTGGCTTCCCTGCCCCACAGCCTTCCGTCTCACTCTCCTTACTACTGCTTTGGCTACTTCGCCACTTAAAATTCTTCAGTGGTCGCCCTCTTCCTGCAGGGTAACATCTGAAATATTAAGTATTTTTAACTGTTTTGTTTCCTGCAGTACTGAGGTAACACAGGGCCACATGTATGCTAGGCAAATATTACACCAATATGCTATGGGCCTAGCCTTGATGTTTAGTGGGGGAGTGAACCCAGATTCTATCAGCCCTCTAACTGGCAAAGCCTTGAGGGGGGCATATGATGTGGCACATACGGGGAGGTCAAGGACAACCCTGAGGAGTTTGTTCTCTCTTCCACCTTTACATGGGGTTCAAGGACGGAGCAAGGTTTCCAAGCTTATGCAGCAAGTGCTTTTACTTGCTTGGCCATCTTGCTGGCCCCTGACAAAAATTTAAAATTTTCCACTGTGGGGAAAGAAAAGGCCAAGGGCAGGACTCACCTAGTGAGTGTCCGTAGGAAGCATGCCATAGCCCCCGGCTTTGTTTGTAGGTTCCTGTCATGCATGCTAAATATGCACTCTACCACTGAGCTACCTCCTCACTGCTCTAACTGTGAAGAGTTTCGTATGGCTGTAATGGCAGTCATATAAAAACTGTACATAAGTTGAAGTCTAGTTTTCAGCCATCCTCCCTTGAACTTGGTTCTCGTAATACCTTTCCTGCCTTCTCTCATCTGGGAATGTTCCACCTTTAGAAGCAATATGCTATTCCTTCTGTTTCAGAGATATTTATCTACTTTTAATCCCCTTGTGACTGCTACCACTTCTTTAAGCATCATCTTTTCCAAAAGCACTCAATTACTTCCCCATGCTTGTTTGAGCCTTCCGTGTGTATCTGGGCATACCTAATTCCACAGCAGTGCTAGGCTCCGAAGCAGGGCCTAAGTCTCTCAAGAATGAGTTTTCTATCCTTCAGGACAGCAAAGAGACGTATGGCAAATTTTACATCCACAGGAAAGAATGTGCAGTTAGCAGAAATGTTTTATGTGTCCTGGCAAGTGCCTGATGATGGGAGACTGCGTATAAAAAGTGAAGAATTGCAACAAACTGTGACTAAAGATGTTTTAAGTACTAAAAACAGCTGACATTTCACTGGAACAACAAAGGGATTTTCTAAACATGTTGCAGGATATGACAGAATGAACCAGAAGGGAATGTCAAAACTTTTAAAGAAGTTTATCCTAAAAGATAAAAAATAAAAACTGAGTGTGATTACCATTGAAATCTCTAAAAGTCAAACAGCATCCTCAACTGTCAATGGAAGGTTGGGATGAGAGGATTCTGTGAATGCCATTGAGTCTGGCATAGAGTTACTCTTCTCTGAGCCATCGAGAACACATTACACTCTTATCTACACCATCATAACTGGATTATTTTGTCACTTTTAGGGTACTAGTGGCTGAATGACATTTATGTTGTCTTAACTCCATAGTCATGGGGCACAAATCATATTTTTCTAGATATAGGTACAGGCTTGAGATGAAAGCACACATAATGTTTCCTGACACAGTTAAAAGGAAATGAAAATATTTAGTATGAATCCTAACCTGGATTCATATTCTTATCATGAGGTGACTCATGCCTATAATCCCAGCATTTGGGAAACAGAGGCAAGAGGATTGATGTGAATTTAGGGCAAGTCTGGGTTACCTAGTGAGTCCTAGACCAGACTGTGCTACAGAATGAGGCCCTGCCTCAAAGCACACAGATTTCAAAAAGATGAATCCTAAGTCAGTTGTGGAGAGAATGTTTTTTTCCCCCTATCTTCATGCAAGTAAGAAGGTCAGAAAACAAACAACAAAAACCCAACATCCCACCAAATGTTGCTGTACAAAGAAAGAAATCAGGAGTGATTGTTTCTGTTTCCTGGAACAGTCTCTTTAAGTGATACAGGAGATAAGAATCAGATTGTATAAACTCAGGGTCATTCCAGGGGCTTTGGTGATGGCTCAGTGGATGCTTGCTGTGGCCTTGGGTTCAGGGTCCAGCACTCATGTAAAAAAAAAAAAAAATACACAGAGCATCTATGCTTCCAGTGCTGTGAGGCAGAGACAGGAGGATCCCTGGAGCTCATGAGCCAGCCAGCATAGCCCAATCAGTGAGTTCTAGGTTCCATGAGATACATAGCCTGTCTCACAAAGTGTGGAGAACAGCTATGGAAGATACCAGTCTAGACCTCTGGCCTCCACACCAGCAAGCACACAATTCATGGTAGTTCTTTTCTACTTCTATATGGATATTCTCTGCATACCCTAGTCTTAACCCAGTGTTACTTTTGCTGTAATGAAACACTGTGACCAAAAGCAACTTGGGGAGGAAAGGATTTATCTGACTTACACTTCCAGAACACTGTTCATCATCAAAGGAAGTCAGGGCAGAAACTCAAACAGGGCAGGAACCTGGAGCAGGAGCTGATTGATGCAGAGGCCATGGAGGGGAGCTGCTTACTGGCTTGCTCCCCAAGGCTTGCTCAGCCTGCTTTCTTATAGAACCCAGGGCCAGCAGCCCAGGGATGGCACCACCCACCATGGACTGGGACCTCCCCCATTTTCTAAGAAAATGCCCTATGGGCTTGCCTACAGCCTGTTCTTATGGAGGTATTTTCTCAATTGAGGTTCTCTCTTCTCAAATGACTTTAGCTTGTGTCAAGTTGACACAAAACTACCCAGTACACCCAGATACATTTTTGTGAACAAACAGAAAGGTTTATCTTTTTTCTTGAATGCCAAGTAGTACTTTTGAGAGTCAAAAACTTTGGTAGAAGTTACCATTATATGTGAAGCTAAAGGAAATCTCTGTATTTACTATACAGTGTTTTTCTCAGCAGGAAAAACATGTCTTCTTGACATGTAAAATGTGGTTTTTAGTTTTAGTAAGAAAGATGATCTCTTTAGATATTCTTTCATAAAGATAAAAACACATAAAAACATAAAAATAAGTCTATAACAAATATTATTCTCTTAGCATTCCTTTAAAGAATTGCCTGAATAAGTAGAGAAAATCTGATGATGATGATGATGATGATGATGATGATGATTTTTTAAAAATTTAAAATTCTCCTTTCATCAATACAGCCAGGCTCACCCTCAAACTTTTCCAGGTTGAGAAAAATCCTTAATAACTAATGTCTGTGGCTTTAGGGTTCTATCTGCCTTTCTCATTGCCAGAATTCTTTAAGCTGGTTCTATAAAATAGCAAACGGACACTTTTCTTTCCCACTTTGAATTACAGACAATGGACAGACTACCGTCACGAACTTATAAGCTTGCTGCTATGTTTCTCTTTTCCTTCCTTTTTTCTTTAGATGCACTCGTTATTAGTTTTGTCTGCACTCAAAATACCATATGGTCAACCATTTTTCTGAATAAGTATAGGGTCTCTTAATTTCAAAGAAAAAAAAGTTTAAACACTTTAACAGTCTATTTAAAAAGTTACATTAGATAGCTTGTGATTTATACAATCAAATTTGCCAAAATTATCAAATTATGTTGAAAATAAGAGAAAACCTGCAATTTTAGAAGCAAAGATGCCCAAATTATTTTCTGTGCATCTATGGTTATCAAAAGCAATGTTTTCTAAGAGCTCATAAAGAGATAATTCTGCTTATAACCATATAATTTATAACCATTCTAACCTCAATTAAACCACGACTCCAACAAAGGTTTGCAACCTTCTATTTTTTAGATGGAAAGGGTAGAGGACAGGACTCGGGCTGTGATTTTCCTCTAGGAAGCACATCATGTCCTAGAGCCCCTGGTCTGCTTGAGATGCTCCTGGTATAGCATGCACAGCTCCCTTCCTGCTTTCTCAACCATAGCACTATTTCATGTAATTCCTTAATTTTCTTTTTATTAGAAGACCATAAACTCCATGGGGGCATAGAGATGAATTCTATGCTGGTGTTCACCACAGTTTTGGAAAGTGACTACACATACTTAGCAATAAGTTATTTAAATTAAATAGATTTTTAAAAAGGTACCTCTGGGTCATATTTCTAGACTTACTTATTCAATTCAGTCTTTCATGTAACCTACAACAACAATACAATGCAATCAGTATTTATGGCCCTTGGAAGACTAAATTATTTAGAGTATGTTCTTTTTACCATGGCTGAATTTAAAGGTTATTTTCTGGATGTTTTCAGTTGGAAAAGAAGGCTTTATGGCTGGCAGTTAAAGAGAGAGGTGTTTTATAAGTATACCCCATCATAGACTGTACAAATGGAGGAAGAGAGCCGAGCACCAATGTGGATGAGGTGCTCATTCCTCTGTTTCCTGATTGTGGACATGATCAAACCCCACTGCTTGGTTTCCCTGGATGCTGGGCTAAAATAAACTCAGCTTCAAGTTGCTGTTGTCAGAGCATTTTATCACAACAGGGAAAGAAACTCAGACCAGTCTCTATTCACAGTTCAGCAACAGTTGACTTGAATGATATGTTTTCTATTGAAGTATTTCTTAAAATCATTCAAGACTGTATTTAGTTTCAAAACTAAAGTATCCTCTTCTTTCTGAAGAGCTGAAAGCAACTGCTGTGAATTAAAACCTCTAGTCACTGATTCCTCACTGAACCCCAACATGACTTGGTTATGTTAACTACAGCCAATGAAGATCTTACATGTCTTCTTCTCTTGTCCTTTTCCATTCTGTGTGGGATGTGGACAAGGTAGAGTGCCGTCTTGGACCATGCAGACTAGGGCAATCTTCTAAGGTGGCAGTGTAACCAGGGTCACCTTAATGACCCAGAGCAGAAAGACTCTGAGTGCTGCCTATCTCTGGGCCAATCTTTGTGAGAGAGAAAAAAAAAGTCCATACTACTTGTCTTGGTTTTCTATTGTTATGTCACAATGACCATGAACAGTTTTTTTTTAAGACATTAATTAGCTCACAGTTGTGAAATTCAGAATCTGACCTAGTGTGACTGGTTTCTCTGGCCAAGGCCCCACAAGGTGAAAAGGAAGGTGTTGGATAGGTGTATTCTCATCTGGAAATCTACAGGCTCCTCCAAATTCACATGGCATGGAGACACCCAATCTTAGAAGTATACGCATGAGGGAGCCACTTCCTTCTGGTTATCATCTGAGGGCCACAGTAAGCTCCTCAGACTCACTCCGAGTCCTTTTCTGGTCCACAATTCCATCTTCAAGGCCAGCAGATAAACTCTTGGTCTGGTTGCAAGCCCTGTTGCTTCTGATGTCCTTCTCTAAGAAGAGGTTTGTCCTCTTCAAAAGCTCAAATGATTAGGTAAGAGTCATCCTGATCTCTTAAAAGTCAACTGTACACAGAGCATAACTCAATCAGAGAAGTGAAATTCATCAAGTTCAGTTTTGAAGATTATAGGGTTTATACAAAAGGGAACAATGACCTTGGGCCATCTTTGAATTCTATAACATTACTTCAGCTCTCTGCTACTTTAAAAGTTTTCTTTTAAGAAATTAACTTTATAGTTGTTGCACATATACATATATAAAATTTGTATTTTAACATATGCAGTTGTTTAGTATTAAATGCATTTACACTGGTATGTAGCTACCATCTCTACCAATCTTTAGAACTAAAACTATGTGCTCATTAAATAACAATGCATTATTCTCACTTCTCTAGGCCCTGGCAACCAGCATTGCACATGATGTCTCTATGAATATGACTACTCTTAATAACTCAAATAAGTTGAATCATTTGGTATTTGTCCTTTTGTGTCTGGCTTATTTAACTTAACTGCTATATACCTTTGAATCTGAATGTTAATATATATCAAAATGACCGAGGTTTGCCAGTGTGGTAGGGGAAAGTAGAGAAAAATATATAAGCTATTAACATTACTCATTAAGAATAACTGATTAATATAGCCAATTCAGCTTGCCTATGTTTCGCTTTTAAATATAAATGTTGCAATGTTATCCTAACTCAGTCATACACAAAAGAGTTTCTTTTGAAATGTAACATTCAAATAGCTTTTGGGGAGAATGAGGACTATTTCAGAATATACTCCAGGTGAGTTACAGTCACTCAGTAGAAAAAAGTGGGGCTACATGTGAGTGGATAATCTGCTTAATTCATTTCATATACAAGACTATGTTTTAAACTAGTATCCTGAGCCACTCTAATAGTACTGATGTTTTCCTCAATAAGAGAAATATAACAGGTAAATGTTTTAATATAATTAGGTGACCTCCAATGGCTAAGAAACAGCTACCTACATTTTAAGGCATTTCCCAGGATAGTTAAGATTTTCTGAGCAATGCATAAAGAATGAAACTCAAAAAAAAAAAAAAAAAAGAAAAGAAACTCCAGAGTTTACTTTGGCTAATAAAGTTATTAATGCCTATTCATGTAGGAATGAAAATCTACTACATATTGCTTTAACCCATGTTACTTATTTGCATAGAACTTAAAACCTTTTAGTAAGGGTCAGATTTGTAGTAATGGAGTCACTGGACCAGTTGGTGGTCTTATAAAAAATTTAAAGCTGGAGATAGTAACTAACATCTAATCCCAGCACTTTGGAGCCCGAAGCAGAAGGACTGCTAAAAATTCTAGGCCAGCTTGGGTTATGCTGTAAGATCCCATCAGAGAGAGAGAAAGCGATTCAGACAGACAGACAGGCAGGCAGGCAGACAGGCAGACAGGCAGACAAGCAGGCAGGAAGACAATAAAACCTCCACAAAGCTGGGTATATTGAACATGCCTGTAATTCTAGCATTTGGATGTGGAAGCAGAAGGATAAGGAGTTTAAGGTCATCCCTAGCTATATATCAAATTCAACTTGGGCTACAGGCAATCCTGGGCCCACCCCTAATTTAGAATATTGATACTTATGTTATTAAAATAAATTTAAGATATGATCAATTAGCACAATTATGAATACATAAAGTGTTAAGACGTGGTAGAAACTATTCAATCTAATCAACTGGCTCATCTTTTACATAAAGTAAAATTATGGTCAGAATTGATTAATTTTCTAAGCCAATAGAATTCCAACATTTTAAACTTGTGAAAAGCTTTAAGGCATCAATTCCAAACGCTCACTCAAAAGAAATGAACATAAGCCAGGCATGGTGGCTCATGAATGTAACCTTGGCACCTGGGAGGCAGAAGCAGGAGAACTGCTGGGAGTATTGAGGCTAACCTGTGCTATACAGTGAGGTCTAGGCTAGCCTGGGATACAGAGTATGATCTTGCCTCAAAACAAAACAAGCAAAAAACCCCACAGGAGACCCAAAATGTTCAGGTAGATGCGAAGCTCCCAGGTGATCAGCCCCTTTGTACAAACAGTGCTACAGAGACAGATGGACACAGAACTGACCACTTCTCACCTTCTGAAAGCTTCAACTACAGTTCTTTATTTGGGGATTAAATTTGTTTTCTTTCTTAGGCTTCTCACTTGCTTGTTTTCAAGCACAGGCCAACTTGCTCTCAGACCTGTGCCTTTAACACACCATGAAACCTTTCACAAAATCTGTTGTTGGAGTTTTACTGTTGTGAATTTAGGGAAAGTTATAGTTTATGCTTCTACCTATAGTAACTGCACAAAAAGTTATGACTACAATATACAATGGACAGTTGACTGGTGACAAATGTCAGGGGTATTTTAAATAGCAAAACCATAATATTCCTAACCATGAGATGACACAGGGATGATCCAAGGAAATCAGAGTAACCCACCGTAGGTCCTACTTGCACAGCAGCTCTCCAGTCCTTCCCCTCCCTCACTGAGCTATGCTGGGAGGAGAAAGCTTCAAGCAGGTTTTAAAGAGATAAGTATGGGGATTCAGTCTAGAACATGAGTAGGAGCCCCAAGATCTGCAGATGAAAGGACTCACTCCGAGGAAGAGATTAAAGGAATAGAGCCCTTCCAAGCACATAACCCAACACTGGATTTCAGATCTCAGAGGTCAGTTTGCTCAGTCTGGGAGACTTGTAAATATGTTCTGCAAAGGAGATGGCCAAATATAAGAGTCAGCTAACTGGGAGAAAGGGTGGCTACATGCTTATTACCCAGAACATACAGCAGGGGGTAAAATAGCACTTGGTTCAGACAAATCTCTTCTCTTCAAAACCCACTGTCATGGAAGAAGACTCAGGATCTGCTACTAGAATAAGGAGGGCATGAACAGAAAAGTAATGATAACAGAAACAGCAAAGAAGAGAGGAAAAATAGGCACAGAAAGGTTGCCGACAATGGCCATATGCGAACAACAGCTATGTTAATTTCTTGAGGTGACCGAGTAACCCCCCACTGGAGAACAGGAAGGCACACCAGCCACAGTGCTGTTCAGTAATTGCTGGTCAAGTCATTGGGAATGGTTTATTGCCACTGAACTGCTGGGTAAGACTCAGGACCCTGGTCAGGAAGCCAAGGCAGAGGATGGTGGGAAAGCCAGTCTGGGTTACACAGCAAGACACTGCTGCAAAAGCAAAGCACCACGCTCTGGGTGATCACGGCTCTCGGCTTCCCTGAGCAAGGAGAGTTGGAGGACTCAAAGGTGATACCGCTCAACAAACCTGCGTTGACCTCAACACTTTTCTATACATGGAAGATGATCTGTAAGAAGATAGCAATTTTAAATGCTCTTCATCCAGGTAATATCTACAGCCCACCATTTACATACTTAAATGAATATTTTCACACTCAATCTGAACTGGTACTCCTACGAAGATGTCAAGGCTCTAGAATACTCCCAAGTATAACAAGTGCATTTGTGAGATGCAATGATTAGCAAAGCAAACAAGTACAGTAGTATACTTAAAGGTGGTTAGCAAGGACTGCAGAGATGGCTCAGCAGTCAAGGGCACTGCTGCTCCTCCAAAGGATCCAAGTTCAGTTCCCAGCACCTGTATCTGCTGACTCACAAAAATTGTCAGCTCCAGCTCCAGAGGTTATTACACTCTTCTGGCCTCCACAGGCACCTGTACCCACGTATGTACGTACACACACACACACAACAAATAAACAAACAAACAAATAAATGAATAAATAAATAAATCTTAAGAAATGTTTTCAAAGTTAATTTAATCTATCAACAGAATACTATTTTTTTTCTTAATCAGATAATCAGATGAAGGGATAATATCTTTTTTTTTTTTTTTTTTTTTTTTTTTCAAGACAGAGTTTTTCTGTGTAACAGCCCCTGGCTGTCTTGGAACTTGATTTGCAGACAAGCTGGAATTCACTTGCCTGCCTCTACTGCCTCCTGAGTGCTAGGATTAAAGGTGTACACCACCATGCCCAGGTGATAATTTCTATTTTTAAGCAAAATGGAAGATAGCATTTCTTGGACTCTTGAGGTAAGCAGGATTTCACATGCCAATAAAGCCAGCATCACTGTTTGTGTCCCTGTAAGATTCAGACATCTTGGTGGACATTTCTCTCTTGCGTGCTTATTAATGGACAGTCAGTGTTAGTAAGTTATTAACTCAGTCTGCTTATGGGTGTTCTATGAGCAATAATCATTCAGAATATACCTTCACACAGTATATTGTTGAATTTAAGGTTCTCATTCAGAGTGCGTATTCCCATAATTAACTAAAGAGGTCTCAGTCTAATTAAAGAGTTTATTCTGGAATCAAAGAATCTTTAGTTATGATAAACACAAGAATCTATCTAGTCAAACTTGCTTTTCTTTCTTTCTTTCCTTTTCTTTCTTTCTTTTCTTCTTCTTCTATTTTTTTTTTTTTTTATGGTTTTTTGAGACAAGGTTTCTCTGTGTAGCTTTGGGCCTGTCCTGGATCTCGCTTTGTAGACCAGGCTGGCCTCAAACTCACAGAGATCCACCTGTCTCTGCCTCCCAAGTGCTGGGATTAAAGGCGTGTGCCGCCACCGCCTGGCCAAACTTGCTTTTCTCTAAGAACTGCTTTTATAGTACCATCCAAGCAGAACACAAACACAAAAAACAGGGAGGATCCGGTGTAACTGTAATAAACGACTCCATTTATATTCATCTGGAATGGCTGGACAGTCTTCCCTGAGTCAAAAATCTACCTCCTTACACTGACTCATCTCTCACAAAGTACAGAAAACAGTTCATTCAAAGTCAGTTCTCTTTTCTATGTTTCATGAGTCTCTGTAGTCAAATAAAAATTATCTCATGTTCCTATGTTCTCCTGGCTTAAGTTTCTTGGGAAAATCCCAATTTGTTAATACTTTTTTTCAAATATGTTAACATGACATTATTTAACCTGCATAGATCATCTGTCTTGAATTTACACTTCTATTTTGTACTCTAAGACTTCATTCATTTTTCTTTTGAAAATGAGATTCAACAAGATGACTCATTTCATTCTAGGCCTGCTAAAATAAGCAATTTCTATTTATAAAGTTAAGTCTTCCTCTCTTGCACTAGAGTAGACACTGTCAAGTGCTGTGCTGGCACTGTCTCTCCAGCTCCTCTGTGTATGTGAGTCACCTCTGTGTGGTGCAGAGCTTCCCTCCTACACACGTCAATAACCTAGTAGGCGCTGGTGAGCAGTAGCCCGACTCTGGCTGCAGAAGTGGTATCTGCACTAAAGCAAACATGTACTGGGTTTAGTAGAGAAGGATCAAGAGTACAATCATGGCCTGAAGAGGAGGACTTCCTACCTCACTGTGTGCCTTTAAAGTCATCACACTAGGTTCTCATTATCGACCTCGGGACAGCTCTTGCACATGGATTGTCTTCAGTCTATGTTAGGCTACTCTTCTACAT